AGCGTAAAACAGACGTGGTGAAATCTGAAAGAGACATAAGATTGTTATAAGAGGTTTGTAAGATGGGAGTTAAAGTTACGGTGTGAAAGCTGACGGTGAGAGGAGTGCTGGTGAGAGTGAGACGGAAGACAGCTTGGTAATGATTTGGAGAATGCTTGGAATATTCGAGGATCTGGAGGATCCAGGATCTTCGATAAAGTGTCTGGAGAGTGATGGAAGACGTAAATCGAGTAAATCTAAGCAGGTAACAAGTTAAAAGTGAATGGAATCACAGATAATAAAGTCGGAAAATAGCAACGTGGTTTCGGCAAAGTGGCGTCTATGAGATGTGTGAGGAAAGTGCAGAGTTGAGAAGTGAATGGACTGATAGTATAATAATGCACTATGTAAATGATTGAGTAGCATTGTTTTAGCACATTTCACTACGCTGTATGTGATTGTGTTGTCGCAGAAACGGCGTGGAATGAATTAGTGATGTAAGAATTAAGTCGGGAAATAGAGTGTATATATGGTCGGAACGGGAGGTGCAGGATTGGAACGGTTCGGAAGATTCGAGAACAAGTGAGACGAATCGTGTGCGGTGGGGGATGGTGTGAGTGAGAGGAGCGAGATGGGAGTGTTGGACAGAGATAGATAGTTAACCGACGTGAAGTGAGAGGTTGAGAGTGAAATAATCTGGTGGATTCGAGTGTGTGTGGGATGAAGTGGTGCGGTGGTCGGCGATATGAGTGAGGGAGTACGCAACTGGAATGTTAAATAGAGACAGATATTTGCTAGGAAGCGAGATGATAATAGTAGTCCTTAGGGATTATAAAGATTAGTCGGAAATATAGAAGAATTTCTATGAAAGGAATAATTGTGCTAACTGTTAAAAAATAAGAACATTTTAAGGAAGCGTTAATATAATATAGAATGTGTTAGTGACGGGGAGGAATATGAAGGAAGATATGAAAGCGATAGAAAATGTCAGATGAGAAAGAATATTTAGCGATGTTAGGCAATAAGTAGGGTAAATCAGTAAATTAAATTATTTAATGTTTAAAATATATTATAGTTACAAGTGTGTTTGTGAAGGAAATTATGTAGCGCATTGAAATTCTGCCTAAATGTAATTTATAATATAGGAATAAATATCATTCAATGAATGGTAGAAATAAAGAATAGGTATTAAGAGTGAATAGATATAAAGAATGAAGCCTAGGATGTGAGAGAGAGGGGGTGAGAGTGAGAGGAGTGGAGAGAGATGTGAGAGCGAGTGAGGAAAGAAACGTATATGTAAGCAATAACAATTATACAACTAGTAGAATATATGGTAATGTGATTAATGAATGATGATGTATTGTGGGTGGAATCCTGTATCAGTCAAAAGTAGGGAAATAATTTCAACAATGCGGTAATAAATAGGTGGGGGAATGGTGAGTATCGCGATTCTTTCATTAATGTTGCAATGCTACAAATAAGCATAGAGTAGTATGCGGGAAGGACAGTCGGATCGGAAATGTTGGGCATGTTGGATTAGATGTTCGGATGGTTGCGCGCTCTTATAAAGATTAAATCGACTGCAATTGATATGTAAAAGAATACAAAGATTAAAGGTATAATATTGACTGACTCGGGAGGAAACAGACAGAATGAATAGGATGTGGAAATACTGTAAAAATACTGAATCTTGGAACCGACGCATAGACGGGAAGTAATGGTGATAGATGGAAAACATAATCAATCGGTAGTGAATTAAATTTTTAAATGAAATTAAATTAAATTAAATTAAACTAAGGTAAAATATAAACAGTAAGGAAAACTATGCGACGGTGAAGAGAGGAAGGAGACATAAATATATGTACAGACACTGCGTATTAAAGAGACTGATGTGCTGTCTGGGCGCTAAAATGATGGATAAATAGAGCTCGAGATTCTGACAGCGAGGAATTCATATGAGAAACGTGGATCTGATGCTGACGGGAATTATAACCTAAAATAGAAATGCAATAAGTATAATAAATAAGTAACATAGCGGAAATGATATATATCATGAGAAGTTGAAACACGTGAAAATTAACTATACAATCTTGAATCATGAAAAAGTCCTTCAAAGCTAGGACTAGGAACTGCCAATTAAAAAAATCGGAAAATACTTGGACAAAAGTAACAGCGAGTTGCGCTCCTGCGCGCGCCATGGGCGACGAAGGGAAGGGAACTCATACTCCAAATCTTAAGCTTTGGTCGCGGCGATGGGATGGATGGCTGGCGGGAGTTATACGTGTCAGTCGGTATATATCTTAAATGTACCTCGAGCGTTGTAGGAGAGACGTCCAACCATAGTATAGGAAACTACCCTATAAATTAAGAGGAACAGAAGGATAGGGCTGCTGTCTCGGAGAAAAGAGTTAGACTCGACGGGGAGGTCTCTGGTGCTGAGGGGAGAGTAGACTGAAGTCGTCGAGGTTTGCGGAAATGTTCCCTGTCTCCGGAGCGGCAGCGATAAACGTAAGAGGGATTGTCAGTAAATGTTCCAAAGGCCGAGTCGAAGACTTGTTAAAATCTCGACTTATAAAATTATGATGAGTAAAATAGAAGATATAAAACGTCCTGGGTTTCGGAGCTCAGGAACCCGGCACCTGGGGGGTACTGTCCCTGCTCCCCTCGGGTCGGCTGCACAGGATGCAGACTCATGTGAAGGGCTGGACTGGGGGTTGCCGCCGGGCTCCCAGCCGGAATTAGCTACCGACGATGGAAAAAGACAGGAGGCGATTGGAGAAGAAACAAGTTTAGAGATGACGGAGAGCAGTCAGGCGAAAGAGCGCGGGGAAGAGCCCATAAACCTAAGTAAGGAAAACGCGCAGATTATAGACAAGATACAGATATACACAGATACAGAAGAGGAGGAGGAAGATAAGAAGAGAGGGAAGAAAAGAAAATTGAATCTCTCAAAGGGTAGTAGGTCACTATCAACGTCGTACTCGCAACAGATAGACACGGAGGAAGATAAATTGGACAGCAGTGGATTTAAGAAGCTAAACAAGAGAAAGAAGCGACAGGGGCAGAAGTCGTCATTTATGGACGGGGAGTTCCTAGCTCTGCCAGTGGGAATGACGTCTAAACAGCGGAAAAAGATTAAGGAAAATATGAGATTTTATTCCGTAGCTGAGAGCGGGACAATTGTAAACGACGTATTAAGACGGCTGGATGGAGCGTACGAAGCGCAGAAGAGGACGACAATAAAGGAAGACCTTAAGCACATGATGATAGTAGGAATAGAATCAGCAAGGGCTGCGATACAAGTAATGGCGAGTGAACGTCAAGTAAGGACAAAAGCAAGATTGACATAGACAAGTATCAGGAACTGGAAGATAGATTAAAGGAAACAGTGGAGGAAGTGGCGAGACTGAGAAGCGAAATAGCAGAAGCTCACGTGTTAAAAGAGGAGAACGAAAAATTGAGGATAGAACTGGAAAGGGAGTGGAAATTGAATAGAGAGGAGAGACTGGAAACTGAGATGGATGGTAAACGAGAACTTAGAAAAGGAGATAAGCAGTATGGAAAAGAAGTAATAGAAACTGGAAGCGGGGTGTACAGGGGGGAGAATTATCAAGACGCGGGGAGGAGAAAAGGATGGCTGGGAAGTATGAGCCAAAGGAGCAATCAGTTGGAAGAAGAAAGATGGCAGTCAAGGCAATCGATAAACAGAGAAATGAGTGAATATCATAGAAGGACGGAGTGGAGAAGGACGAGGACACCGGGAGAAAGGGAAAGAGGGGAGACCCCATATCGGATGAGCAAGGAAAAGAACAGATGGCCGGAGCTGAGGACACCTGCCGCCCGTATGAAAGGCGAGGACAGAGGATACCAGAGAATGGGAGATACAGGAAGGGAAAATAGCGGGGAAAGAGGAAGCTATGCGCAACAAACTCGAATGGAACAAAGAGAAAAGGAGGGGTATGGCAGAACATGGGTAGAGTTTATGAGAGAAAAAGGGGAGATAATGCAGGAAGAAGGAAACCGTAAGGAGGAATCTGGAAGGAATAATGTACCCAATAGTAGGAGAAGGATGGCGAGGAACCCAGCAGTGATGATAGAGATAAGTGAAGGTGGTCCAACATATACGGAAGTGCTGAGGAAGGCGAGGGAAAGGATCCCGCTAGGAGAGCTACAAATAAAGGAGATAAATGTGAGGCGTACACAGAGGGGAGCAATGATAATTCAAGTCACGGCGGAAAGAGCGCGGGAAAAGGCAAAGAAATTGACGGAAAGGTTGAAGGAACTCTTTGATAGGGAAACAAAGGTGAAGATATATAGCCCGTCCCCACAAGGAGAGATAAAACTGATGGGGCTGGATGAGTCTCTAACAGTGGAAGAGATTTCTGGGGCAGTAGCTAAGGTGGGTAAGGTGGAAAGAAACGAGGTAAAAGTAGGAAGGAAAATATGGACGAGGGACGGCACAGTAAATACATGGGTAAGATGCCCGCTGGATGGAGCAATCGAACTGGCGGATGCGGGAAGGATAAGAATAGGTTGGTCTTCAGCAAGAACGATGCTGATGAAAAAAAGACCTCCAAAATGTTATAAATGCCTGGCGGTTGGGCACACCAGGATCTTTTGCCCCAGTGAGGTTGACCGTACCGGAGCATGTTTTAACTGCGGCAAAATGGGGCACACTGTGGGGGAATGCAAGGACCCACCAAGGTGTCCGTTGTGCCTGGACTCGGTAAGAGACCACAGACACAGGCCGGAAAATCCCCCGTGCCCATTGGTAGCGGGGGGTCAAATGAGAAAGGAAACACCGATTAGAGATAAGGAAGCGACGAAGACGAGAGGGGAGAGAATGGAGATGGAGACGGATCGGGGGTTGGAAGCCGTCAAGATGAGGGAGAATTAAAGTGCTTCAAATAAATCTTGGGGCTTCTCGGACGGCCCATGATCTGATGGAGAGATACATTGAAGAAAGGAAGATAGACATAGCGATAATTTCGGAGCCGGCGAGGAAAATGGTGGGGGGCGTAATGTCCACGAATGGTCCGTCGGTGGCCATGAGAGGAAATAAGAAAACTATGCAGGGATCAAGAATGTTAACTTTGGAAAAAGGATTAAACTATGTGGTGGTGCAATGTGGAGAAATCGTATTCATAGGTACATACTTCTCACCAAATAAACCATTGCACGAGTTCGATGAATATACAATCACGCTGAGTAGGATAATCAGGAAGTATAGGGCCAAACCAGTGATAGTATGTGGAGATCTGAACTCGAGACATGCAATGTGGGACTCGGGAAGGGGAAACCCAAGGGGGGAGAGACTCGCAGACTGGGCCGCGGTGGAAGACTTGTGTTTGTTAAACGAAGGGAGGGAAGTGACAAATGTGAATGTGAGAGGCTCCTCCTCGGTGGATATGACGTGGGCCACCCTCTCAGCCAGGAACAAGGTAACGAAGTAATGGGTGGATACGAGTAACGATATGCACACGACGCACAGAGGAATAAACATTGAGATGGACAGGGAGAGAGGGCAGAAAAAAGAGAATAGAATGAAATACTTTCCTAGGTGGAATACAACGAAGTACAATCAGGATACAGTGGGAGCTGCCATGGAGACACGGATATGGAGTGGAGTTCCGGAGGAAGGCATGGACGGAGACGGAAAATTAAAATGGGTTAATAAAACGTTGAGAAAAATAGCAGACTCGGCGATGCCGAGAGTGAGCGGCGAGCACATAAATCGTCTAGTATACTGGTGGAACAAAGAAATTAACGTGCAAAGAAAAGCGTGCAACAAAATTAGGAGAAGGATAACCAGGGCCAAGAAGGGAAGAAACGAGAGGGAGGGAGAAATGTGGAAGGAATTGAAGAGAAATAGGAAAATACTGAGGAAACTTATATATAAAGCAAGGGAGAGATGTTGGAAAGAGTTAATGGAGACATTGGAGAGAGACCCGTGGGGTAGACCATACAGGATAGTAATGGCAAAATTGAGACCACAAACTCTCTCGGTAATAGAGTTAATATTACCGGAAAAGGTAAAGGAAATTGTGGCAGAACTATTCCCGAGGACGGAGAGAGAGTGCGTGATACCTCTACCAGAGGAAGGAACGTGGAATATACAACTGAGGATAGATGAAGACGAACTAATAACAGCTATAAAGGGGATATCAAATAAAAGAGTCTCGGGCCCAGATGGAATTCCGGGAAGACTACTAAAACAGGTGGTACCTGAAATGATAAAGGTGTTTAAGATGTTGTTTGACTGGTGTCTAGAGGAAAGAAAGTTCCCGAGAGATTGGAAGGGATCCCGGTTGGTGTTACTGAAAAAGCCTAACAAAAAGGATGACTCACCATCAGCGTACAGGCCGATCTGTCTGATAGACGAGCTAGGCAAACTCTTTGAGAGGATAGTGAATAACAGGATACAAAAATGGCTAGAAGAGGGAAATAGGTTATCTGGGTCACAGTACGGGTTCCGAGTGGAATGATCAACAACGGATGCGATATAGGCAGTAAGGGAGGCGGTGCAGGAGGAGACGGACAGAGGGAAGGTGGTGGTAGCGGTATCATTGGATATAAAGAACGCATTTAATTCGATCCCCTGGGGAGTAATTATGCGGGCAATGAGGGAAATGGGAATGCCGAGGTATCTGTGTGAGCTCATTGATTCGTACTTGTCTGACAGAAGGTTACTGTACGTGAATAGGGAGGGGGAGATCAACAGCGTGGAGGTAAGATGCGGGGTGCCACAGGGCTCGGTACTTGGTCCAACACTCTGGAACATAGGATACAACCAAATCCTAAAGACAAGACTTCCGTTTGGCGGGAGATGCACGTGCTATGCAGATGACACACTGATTATAGTATCGGGTGGCACACATGAGGAGGCGGTAATGGCGGCGGAGTATGCGGCGGACATGGTGGTGAGGGGGATAGAAGGGATGGGGCTTAAGGTCGCTGTGGCCAAAACTGAGGTAATGTTTTTTGCGCAAGGGCCGGAGGTCGGGAATGAAAATGAGGATAGGAGAGGCGAATGTCCCTGTGAAGGCTGCCATAAAATACCTGGGGTTATACCTGGATACATGGTGGTCCTTCAGGGAACACTTTAAGATTATAACTGTAAAGTCGGAAAGAATAGTGCTGGCACTGGGTGGACTAATGAGAAACCTGAGGGGTCCTAGGGAGAGAAGGAGAAGAATGTATGCATGGGTCGCTACTTCGGTAATAATGTACGGGGCTCCCATCTGGGAAGATGCAGTTGCCACGGATAGGTGGATAAGAGATAAGGTAGCCAGGGTGTTGAGAAGAGCCGCACTGAGAGTAATAGCGGGGTACCGCACGGTATCACATACCGCTGCGGTGGTGTTGAGCGGGATAACCCCATTTGATATAATGGCTAGGAGGTACAGGAGGGTATACATTAAAATGAGAAGAGCTAAGGAGGAAGCGCGGGGAGGACCGGTTCATCCACTGAGAATACAGGGGATTAAGGGGGGGAGAGGAATTTGGCAATGGAGAGATGGCAGAGAAGAATGCGGGAAATAGAAGAAGGAGCCCCGGGATACAGGGTATGCAAAGCGATAGCTCCCTTTTTGCAGGACTGGATAGATAGGGAAAAGGGGGACATAACGTATAGGATAACTCAGATGGTGACGGGCTATGGGTCCTTCAAGTATTACTTATATCAAATCGGAAAAGTACCTTCACCGGAATTTCGGTATTGTGGAGCGGAGGAGGAGACAGCGGAGCACGTACTTGGGGAGTGTGTAAGATGGAGTGAACAAAGGGAAATTCTGGCTGGGCGATGGGAGGGGGATCTTTCGCTGGCTGGTGTCTTGAGACGGGCGACGGAATCGGAGGATGGGTGGCGGATGTTCGCGAACTTTTGCGAAACAGTGATGAGTATAAAGGAGCGGGATGAGAGGGAGTGGCAGAGGGAGGAGCGAGCGCGGGATGGAGCGGGAGTTGGATGAGGGATCGATGTGGGGAGATATGGTGGGACTGGGTGTCGGTGCGCGGAGCGCGGACGAACCGGGGTGATAGGTGGTGGTGAGTAAAAGAGATGATGATAGAAACTCAGAGACAGGAAGGATATGCCGTGCCGAGGGGCAGCGGGGCACGGAAAGGTCCCGAGAAAAAACGGTGGAGGGGGTTATACTCGGAGGGCGATGGAGGGACCTGATGAAACACCGAATAGGTGGTACCAGGTCCCTCTACCACATGCCCTAAAATGGTAGGGCTTGGCTAAGGGGGGGTTTTTAGCTGGTAGACGTGTCGTCGGTTGATATCCGCGGAACCCGGAGGGAAACAAGTCTCGAGATGGGGGTATCGGCGTCCCCGACGGCACGAATCCAGCACACCCAGGTGAACTCGGGCCCTGGGTGTCTTCCCCCGCTATGACGGCGTACCTGGTGACGGATCTCCTAACCCGAGCCGAACCCGGGGCGCCGGATTGGGGGGGGCTAAGTGAAGATTTTCCCCCCCTACGAGAAACAAAAAAAAAGCACACAGACATGGGTTCATGCTTGTGTGTGTGTGTGTGTGTGTGTGTATAGCGCGCTCGCCATGGTTAAAGGCTGAAATAATAAGCCTATAGTGATATTCTTCACAATGATCCCGTTTTTAATGTACGTTATTAATTACTTAAAAACACATTACTTAAAAACACATTGCGAAGAATATCACTACGTAGACCAGCCTATAGAGGTCTATAGTTACGCTTGCTTTTCTCGCAAGTGCTAAGATACATAAGTATCTGTTTATATAGAACTTCTTTCTAATATCTCCCCTAGGCGTCTAAGGTATGTTTCCATTACAATTACCTTACTGATGAGTCTAGTAGTGGAAACCGGGACGAAAAGCCTATAGAGGTCTATAGTTACGCTTGCTTTTCTCGCAAGTGCTAAGATACATAAGTATCTGTTTATATAGAACTTCTTTCTAATATCTCCCCTAGGCGTCTAAGGTAGGTTTCCATTACAATTACCTTACTGATGAGTCTAGTAGTGGAAACCGGGACGAAAAGCCAACTTGTGATATTCTTCGCAATCTTATTTTTCACAGAATTTGATTTATTAATAATTTAATTTACATTAATAAATAACAAATCATTAAAATTTAATATATGTCTTTCAACATATTATTAAGATCCAATAAGATGCTATAAGCATCAAATATTGTTAGATTGCGTGTCAATTTAACTAGTGATATTACTACGGTAGTTATTTAGAGTTGCGTTTGTAAAAGACTGAAAATACTTCGGCGCGCGATTAAAGAAGACTACATACGTGGTAAATAAAATTTACACATTACTGTAGCAACCTAAATCTTGCTTGACCGTCATTCGGCCTTTATTCAATTATTGTTTAATATTATTACTACAATATTAAATTATATAAGTTCTACTTTCAATTTGTATCGGGCCATCTAGCAGGTCAGGCTGGATGGGACATAGGTAGCTTGGTCACCGCTAGGGGCGATCGCTGTTCTCGGAACTTTACTTTTCTCCCGTTACAAAAACGGGTTCCTGTATCCTTCATTTGAGGACTCAAAGAAAGGTTTCGGCATCATTTCGGCGATAAGATACATTCTATATTCGAATTGCATATTAATAAGCGATACAATAATTAATGCACCGGATACAGTTTGTTTATAGTACGGTCTATTTCATTTAAATCCCTTTCCTTCTGTGACAGAGTTTAATTTTCAAGTAAATCTAAAAGTTACTGATGCCATACAAAATCCACGTTTTATGTAATTTACTTCAAAATTGCATCTTAATTCTTGATGGAGTGTCCATCACGCCAAATGAAAAGTACAATCCATTGGTGACGCTTTTGGCCTGATCAATGTTAGTTTAAAAAATTGCAAATATTGTGAAATGAACTTAATCTTATAATTTATAACAATTAAACGAATTATGTAAAATAGGTGATGATGATCTTCAAGAAGAGTTGGCCAATGAGATGGGCGAACGACTTTATATGTTTTAAAGACTTACAAGGGAACGCAACCAAGTGGATCTCTCCGATTTAAATGAGCTTTTAGTATGTTGTTCTATAGACAAAAATAAGAGACACGTATTTTTTTATACATGCGGAGCCGCATGTTAAGGGGGTGAAATCCTCCCTTGAATAAAATCGGTTTTTTTCTTTCGAAGCGAATATCTTCGAAACTATAAGAAATAAAAAAAAATTTCTGGAATAAAAATTGAATGGTTGCAAGAGTACTTTACAACTATAATAATAAAAATTTTTTTACATATATTTATTGTATATCCCACCCTCCACTCTAATTTTCAAAAATTTTTTAATTCTTTATATGACGAAAATTAAAGAGAATTTTACTCTGAAAACAACGATATGTATTTAAATCACGTTCTGAAAATCCATTTCTTAGATATGAACGAAAACGTCTCTTTATATGCGCTCCATACGTATTCGTACCGCGTTGGAAGCACAAGATACCGTTCAATGAATACAGTCCAGTACGCATCATTATCGTACTAGTTATTATAAGAGCTTTTTACAATAATGTTATAATAATAATAATGATGGTAATAATAATAATAATAATAAGGTAATTATTTAGATAGGGGAGGCAGCACCGATGACCTTAACCTTGACATATGTTATCAAGGTCATGACCCTGAGTAACCTCCAACAGGTTTTAGCCGTCGCTCGTCCTTCGTTAAAAAGTTATGAACAAAAAAAGTTTTAAAATTAACCTTTTATTTCTGCTATATATAATGTATATATGATATTATGTGCTATTCCACACGTCCTACTACTTAAGAGATGTACAACTTTCACGCGAAACAACTCTCAGCCCACTTTCTCCCCCCTAGAAAAGGATATAATAGAAATTTTATTGAAAAAAATATTTTAGAATGGTTACACTTAACTAAAAAATTTATAAACGAACATTCTAACGTACTTATTACTAATGCCGACAAGGGAAATGTTACGGTTTTACTGAATAAAGATATTTATATATCTAAGATGGAGCTGATTTTATCTGACGCTAATACTTATGAAATTGTTGATAAAGATCCAACTAATAAATTGACTCAAAATCTACGTACATTACTTACA